AAAAAGAAAGAAAAACAACTACTGATATCCTGTCATAGTTATTCAGGATTATCAGGTTGATCCAGGAGTAGTTCAGTAGAATCTTTTGGATCTTAGTAAATAGGGATAATTTGACATTTTCCCTTTTTGTTTGAATCCTTATTTCTTTTTCTTGACTTATTGCTTTGGCAAAGAATTCTATATTGAATGAGAGTAGGGAGAGTGACATTCTTGTTTCACTCCAGACTTTAGAGGAAATGATTTCAGTTTTCCCTTGTTTGGTATAACATTGATATAGGCTTGTCAACCCATATCCTTTATTCAGATTATTTCATTCTGTTCCTAGGGTTTTTTGTTGTTGTTGTTGTCATTTGTTTTCTTTGTTGTTTTTTGGTGCCAGGCCTGCGTACTATCTCTGAACATTTTTTACTTAAGGCTAGTTTTACTACTTGAGCCACAGCTCCACTTCCAGCTTTTTGGTGGTTAAGAGTCTCAAGGACGGAGCTGATCCCAAAGCTGTTGGCTTTGATCAGGCCAGACAGGCTTTGAACTATGATCCTCAGATCTCAGCCTTCTGAGTAGTTGGCATTAGAGGGGTGAGCTGCTAGTACCCAGCTCTTTTTCAGAGCTTTTTTTTTTTTTTAATCATAAAGGGGTGTTGAATTTTGTCAAAGATTTTTTTTGTCAGTCACCAGCTCCTTGCTTTTTTTTTTTTTAGCTTTTTAATTATATGTTTATTGCTGTGTTCGTTGTGTTTTTAGTATGTTTAACATTTTAGTGTCACTAGAAACATTTTGGTTGTGTGACAGGATACTAGATAAAGAACAGAATAAAATCGAGTTAGTAAGTTACAAGGATTTTCATGAGTGGTTTAGCTTATCTAAAGTATATAAGAAGCCTGGGCTCTACATCCATCTTCTACCGCTTAGCAGTTGTGTGACAGGAAACAAGTTATCTAACTCTTCTTACTCTCACTTCTGTCTGTGTACTGTGGTATTAATTCTTATATTTAGTTTTGTTGTAAAGGAGCAATAATTAGTTCATTCAGCAGATGCCAGTAGAAGACCATCTAGGTGTTAGACAACAATGGAATTGACTTCTTAGCCACACTTCAGTTGTATCTCCATTTAGCTACCCTTTAGATATGTTTTGATATTTTAGATTGCCAAATATCAGTGAAGGAGGACCTAATTCCCCTTTGTCTTTTTCTAAGTGGGTTACATCTCCCATTTACTGTTTTATTTTACTCTGGGAAATGACCCAGGGAATTACTGAAGAGTGATTACTATTAAGCCTTAATTCATATTTGGACCCCTAGTTCTTATTCTACTGGTTGCCTTAGGTTTCATTCATCAGTAAAATAGCGACAACTATATCTATTTGATAGAGTTAATGTGAAAATAAATATTAGCTTTTCTTAGTTAAAAATTTCACACTCACACTGGGCACCAGTGACTCGTGCCTGTAATCCTTCCTAGCTACTCAGGAGGCTGAGGTCTGAGGATCATGGTTCAAAGCCAGGCCAGACAGGAAAGTCCTTGAGACTCTTATCACCAATAAACCACTCAGAAAACTGGAAGTGGTGCTGTGGCTCAAATGGTAGAGCGCTAGCCTTGAGCTGAAGAGCTCAGGGACAGCGCCCAGGCCCAGAGTTCAAGCCCCACAAATGACCAAAAAAAATTTTTTTTTCATACTCTATTTCTGTAAAGTTAATTATAAATTTTGCTTTGTTGCAGCTTTAGTGTTTTTCATATTAAATTGTCTTAACATTTTAGGTATATTTAGTTCTTGACCTAACAACAGACTTTCAGGAATATCCTAAGAGATTTACTCAAAACTGAAACTTGAATTAATTAGACTAGAAGATTTCTTTAATGAACAGAGAGAACTTGACTTTTAATTCTGAACTTAACGTCAATTTGTTTGCTGTACAGTTTTTTTCCCCCCCTTTTATTTGTGTTTGTGTTGAACTCAGGTCCTGGGTACTGTTTATGACCTTTTTCACACAAGGCTAGTGCTCTACTATTTGAAACACAGCTCCATTTGTTTATTTGTATGTGTGGTTAATTGGAGGTAAAAATCTCAAGGACTTTCCTGCCAAAGCTGGGTTTTTTTTTTTCTTTGTTTTTGTTTTTTTTCTTGTCAGTCTTGGGCCTTGAACTCTGGGCCGGAGCACTGTCCCTGAGCTCTTCAGCTCAAGGTGAGCTTCTACCACTTGAGCCACAGTGCCAGTTTTCTAGTGGTTTACTGGAGATAAGACTCTCATGGATCTTCTTTGGCCAGGCTGTCTTTGAACCTTGATCCTTAGATCTCAACCTCCTGAGTAGCTAGGATTATAGACATTAACCATCAATGCCTGGCTGTATCATTTTTCTTAAAAGTGTATTCTGCTTAGTCTTGAACTATTACTTGATTTTCGGTCTTTTAGAGGTTTGATTTTTATCATGTAGTTTGGTTTCATTAGTTAATTTTATAGGCAATTGATTTTGGGTGATGTTTTTTCATTAAGTACTCTGGTCATCTAGAAAGCATATCATTACTTTCTTTAATGTTTATGTAAACTTGTGTCGTATAATGAAAAGTGTCAAGGACATGTTTAGTTAAAGTAATATTTAAGAGCTCTCTGTATGTCAGTATGTTTGTTGCAGAGGAAACTGTAAGGGAGATGCACATTGGTACCTGCCCTTTTTGGGTAAACTTACCAGCTGGGAGAGATGACATACTCATCAAGCCTTAGCATATTTCATAGCAACATTGCAGCATTTTGGAGTAGTATAAAAGGAAGGTTGTATTCTACCTAATATGCAAATGACAATTGAAGGCCAAAACCCAGGAGTGTAGAAAGGCTGTTCTTCAGTTAAAAAAAAAAAAAAGAAAGGATATTCTTAAGTGAACAATTTGTCTGAAAGGTCTAAGGTGAGAAATATCATGCTGAGTTCCAGAAAGTTGGTGTTGAGCATGAGAGAGACATAAAGCAAAGTTGAAGATGCTATGTACAAGTCTTGAAGCCTTTTAGTAAAGGTCTTAGATTATTCTTAGATTGTAGGCTTTATTGTTTGCACAAAGGAGTCAGAATTATTTTAACTAGGGAATTTAACAAGAACATCACTTGTAGGAAGTAGATCTGTTTGAGTTAGGAAGCTGTTGTAAGTACAATAAAGTAGGTATTTAGCTGGCTTCCACTAATGTTCTCTCACTAGAGATAGAAGAGGCTGTTTGGTAGATTAAGAGAGAATTGAAAATACTTTTTCTTTGGATATGTTAGGCTGGTGGAGAGAAAGAGGTTCAAAATGATATTCAGGATTTTGGATATAAGTTGAAGTGTGTCTTTACATGTTCAAATTTGAGCAGAACAATGCTTTATTTGAGCATTTGTTTTTTTCCCTCCATTCCAGACACCTGAGAGTTGTGACACCATAACAGTAACTGACTTACTTTGTTGATAATTGTCAGTGAGATAGAATTGAGGTAGGTAAGAATCAATAGAAAAGACAAACATCTACATAGAGATCTATATAGATATGTTTGTAGTTATAGAGTTGAGAAGATGGGTAGAGTATTTTGGTAGAGGGAAATAGAAATTAAGAAACACATACATCATTCAAAAGTATTAGTTTTTCATTGTTTCAAGGCCACCAGTTTAGATTTGAAGATCAAGATTCAAAACCAGCCCAGGCAGGAAAATCTGAGAGACTCATCTCCAATTAACCATCAGAAAGCCACATGGTAGAGCTTTAGTTGTAGAGCATTAACCGTGAGTGGAAAAGCTAAGAAACAATACCCAGACCCTGAGTTGAAGTTCCATTACAAGCACCAAAAGAAAAAAGAATACAAGAGAAAAAATAGAACAACCTCAAATGGAAGCTAATACTCCATGTTCCTCTGTTAAGTTTTGATATATCTGTAATGTTTAGACTAGCGGTTCTCAAAATCTAGTCCATGGGTGAACAGTGTCAGCAGTACCTTACAATTTACTTAAAGTGCAAATTCTTGGGTCCCCACCACAAACTTACTCAAATTCTAGAAGTAGGCTTTTGTTGAATCCTAATGCCTGGCCAGGGTCCAGTAGACTTTGGAAAAGGCCAGAGGCTTTTAGGCTTTGTGAACCACAGGTCTTTTTGACAACTATCCAACTTTCTGTGTATCAAGAAAGCAGCTGTAAACATGTTTACATTGTCTGTGTTTGTTGGCTGTGTTCCAATTTTTAGTTTTTTTCTAGTGTTGGAGATCAAACCCAGGACCCTCCACATAGTAGGCAAGCCTTTACTACTAAGCAAGGTCCCCAGCTTACCAATAAAATTTTATTAACAAAATCAGACAGCGAACACATTGAGTCAAGTTGTATAGTTTTCAGACTATTGTCTAGACTTTTAACATACAGTAGTTTTTACCCCGGTAACATGTTCATAAAATTTTAGGAGTAAGAGATCAGTTTGAATAGTTTCAAGTAGTGTTTGTTTGCTTCGTTAGTCTTCTTAATTTCTTTTTGTTATCTTTTGTCACCTTACTTCCTCCACATCTGTTTTGTTTTATTTTATTTATTTATTTATTTTTGGGTCCTGTCGTGGGGCCTGAACTCTGGGCCTGGGCTCTGTACCTCAGCTCAAGGCTAGTGCTCTACCACTTGAGCCACAGTGCCACTTCCGGCTGTTTTTTTTTTTTTTTTTGCTTATGTGGTACTGAGGTATCGAACCCAGGGCCTCATGCATACAAGGCAAGCGCTCTACCACTGAGCCACTTTCCCAGCCCCAACACATCTTTGTTTTAGTATGAAACATATTCTCATTGCTAAAAATTCTAAACATGACAAACATCAGACACAACAGAAAATAGGTCCCTAGTGATCACACCCTTACCCCCAATGTAATTATTACTATTATGACTATTTCTCTGTACATCAGTATTTTTATCATGAGTTTTAAAGCAGTGTAGCATGTTTTACTTAGTATTTGATCAGGTTGTATACTTTGTAAGTTTTCCAAATTATGAAATTATAACAGTTTTCTCTTATTTCTTTGAAGGTTGTTTTGGAAACAGAAATAACAAATAAGTCTGCTTTGAAACTTTATGAAAATCTTGGTTTTGTTCGAGATAAGAGGCTATTCAGATACTATTTAAATGGAGTTGATGCACTGCGACTTAAACTGTGGCTGCGTTAAGAAACTGACATCAAAGAACAACTTCCAACCACAAAGAATCGACTTTTGCATGCAATGCAATTTGTACAGAATTGCTTTGCAGGTGGATTTAGTAATTTCCATACAGCTCTTATCTGTCAGTGTCTCATTGAGTGTCGCACAATATTTGTTGCACTTTGGCATGGCGCGTTTGTTCTGAATTAAAAGAGATTGTTTTAAACTTCAAGAGTTCTTTTGGTACCAACAAGATGTGCCAGTTGATAGCCAAGATTTGTTCATTTGCAAAGTCTACTGACAATGTTATTTACATAGTGATCATTTTATCACAGAACCAGTAAGTGGGACATGATTTTTGTTCCTTAAAAAAAGCCAATGTGTGTAGAGTGTAAAAATCTTAAGCATACTAACATTTCACATGAAACCTGCCATAGTTTTCTGAAGGGAGTGAGGGAAAAGCTTCAATTTTAAATTTTATTTTCCAATATTAAATTTCCATTCTTGAATTTTGGTACCTCAGTGATTAGTGAATGAAAAACAATGTAGGGTGGGATATGTCTTACAATGAGTAAAGATAACAATTAAATTGTGTCTGCCAGTGCCTGTGTAGATAAGTATTCTTGTCTTCTTCATCTATAGTTTTCTATTGCATGCTGATTTTTTCTTTTAAGGCCTTTACAAGCAGACTTTTATTTTTATTTAAATCTAAATTTGATAATAAATTATTTCAGATTTTTATAATTTGGATACTTTCCAGGTGAGTGACAACGTGCTTTACTTTAGAGGTCTCTTCTTTCCTTACAGTAAGAAGTTCAGTGTACTTGGGAAATGTTTGAGAAATAGCTCAAAAGGGATGAGAAAAGTTGATGGAGCTGGGAATTGCTGGGTTTTGGATGCACTTTTTTTTTTTTTAAGAGTGGGGGATTCTTTTTGGAAAAGAATAAAAAATTAATGTAAATTGGTATGATTTTATTTAATCAAAATTATTGCTAAGCTGTGTGAAGAGCAGCTTCAATAAAGTAGCTGGTTTTTTTTTTCCCATTTAAGATTTATATTTTGCTTCCATTTCATAAAATGTTTCAATTTTGGTTCTTGGTCTTGGAAATAAATTTAAAGGTGCGCTGTACCCATTTTAAGCTGCTTTATTTTCTTTTCACTTATATGATCAGATTTTTGAGGAACTTTGTTCTATTCCTTTTGAAAGACAAAAAGGAGAAATGCAAATCTTTGTAAATGAGTTCTTAGGGTTTTCTAAGCAGCCATCTTCACTGTATTCAAGCTAATCAGTTCAGTGTAACAAATTTTTAAGTTAATTCATTTCATTTGATTCAGTAAACCTGTACTGGATAAATTTATTTAATTGGAAAACCTAGGTACCCATATGTAAAAGGATGAATTTTCTGAAAAAATATTTTGTAGGTATCTGTTGTTGTTTTCCTTTGAACATGTTTTTATCTAGCTAGGATTTGGTTTGAACTTTATGACTATAATTACTGTATTTTTAAAAACCCTACCTCCATTAACAGTTGGTAAAGGCCCCTGTTCAGGAAAGTTTGTTGCTTTTTTTTTTTTTTTTAAGAAAAGCTGCTCTTTGTTTATTATAGTGTTTTGAAAGTGAACATGGTAACAATACTTCTAAAAATAAAGATACACAATTTATATTTGATGAAAATAAAAACTTCCTGTTGGTGGGGTCATTTATAATTCCTTATTTTTAAGAAACCATTTTCTATTTTACATTGCTCTTTAAAGCTAAATGGGCAGAATATTGGTTATATTAAAAATATAGTGACCACACAGTACTCAGCTTACAGTACTTAGCTTTTCAGCTGACCATTTTGAATCTGGTTTTGGTCCAACTTGGGTTATAACATTCAAGAAATGTTGATTATAGTGATACTTCTCTTATCCTGAATAATAGAAGGAAACTAGCTAATGAAGGAAACTAGATAAGACACTGTATTTACATCATCAAAATTTCTTTTTCTCCTTTATATTTGACTTGCTGGTTCTTAGGTATTGTTGATGTACATTTGCTTGACTCACTAATAGGGGCAGTTGGAAAATAGACACATTCTAGATTATCAGTTCAACCATTTTTATATTTTTGCCAGATTGTCATTGAAACCATCACTACTGACCCAACCCAAGAATTGCTGAATTAACTGGACTGATTGACTAGGCTTTTGTAAACACGGCCAAATTGTTGCCATATAGTTAGTTTAACAATGCTATATGTTGAGTATTAGTGTACCTTAAATCTTTCATTGGGTATGCAAAAATTGTTTACCTAAAATTTAAAATTGTAGCATGATAATCTTAACACCAAAACTCAAAGCCTTCATTCAAGTTGAACTAGCATCAAACTTTGATATTAGTCTTTCATTTTTCTTCACATCAACTTAAAACGGTTCCATTTATAATTGACAGGGTTCACTTGGCTAAAACTGAGCAAAATTGGTATAACTTTCTTTTAATGGGGTTCTGCCTCTTTAAGACTGACTGTACTATCCACTGACACTGGTTTGGCAGTAATAATGCTAAACATTTCAATATATGCTACCAGGAAGCTATATATGTTAGTATTAAAGCTGATGGATATACTACCAGTTTTGATATGTGGGCTAACTGTAACTTTCTCTACATTGAAATTAAACTACCTATTTAGAGAAGTCCACAGATCTGAAATCATAAAGTAGTTTTTGAAGATGATGCCAAAAAAAAGGAAAAAAATTCTATTAAAAATTGGTTTCGGGGCTGGGAAGTTGGCTCAGTGGTACAGTGCTTGCCTTGCATGCATGAGGCCCTGAGTTCGATTCCTCAACACCACATAAGAAGAAAAAGCTGGAAATGGTGCTGTGGCTCAAGTGGTAGAGCACTAGCCTTGAGCTGAAGAGCTGAGGGACAGCGCCCAGGCCCAGAGTTCAGGACCCATGACCGGCAAAAAAATAAAAATTGGTTTCAATATTTTTTACTTCTACAGGTTACCTTCCTGCTTGCTTGACAAATCTGTGTAAAGGAGTTTGTCATGTTTTAACTTTCTTTGCCTTGTGTTACAGTATTAGCTGACATGTATAAGACTGGATATATATGTTATTGTGGTGTCAAAAATCATGACATTCATTACAGTTGAGGAACATAGATAAAATCAAATCAGTAGCACTTCAGTTACTTTTAAGTGCACCATGACATCACTAAAATGAGTGCTATAAACTTATAGGGCTTTCAGGTTTGTAAAGACATAACCATAAATTATATTGACATCAGATAAGAGTTGAGTATAAGATACAGTGTGTATCCCAAAATATTGGACTGTTTGATGATTGGATATTGCTTTATAATTTTTTCCTATTGTCCCATATCCTTTTGGAGAGAGAGATTTAATGGGATTTGAAATGTGCAAGTTGTCTAAATAAGATGCAGTCAAATAAAGTATGGTTAAGTTGTGTTTGCATTTTTCTTTTAAGATGCATGTGGTGCATTTTATGATTGGGTTTTGCTTTTATCTACTCAGAAAAAAGCCTGGTTATTTGAAAGAAATGGTCATTGTTATCACTCTACTTTGTGTCTGACAAAGTAAATTTGAAAATAACATGAATTTGATTTTCCTAAAAGCAATTGTAGTTAGTCAACCCATATACCAAATAGCAATACAAATCGATAGCATTTTTGCATTTATTAAATTTAATGTTAACTTTTTAGTCCTTGTTCAATTACAGTTATTCCTTTGACAGTTTTTTTTATTGTAGTTTATTAGTTTTGGTTTGCACAGTCCATTCTTGTATAAATAGTATTTTCCTTTTGCTAAACACGAGTAAAATAAATTAGTACCATAAAAGGATTTTTTAATCCCATCCTGAGAAACTTAAATTAGCAGCTTTGTATCCTTTCATACTTCAGATTTTTCAAGTATTTCCAGATGAAAATATCTTTTAATTATGTGACTGCTAAATTACTTTTATCATGCATGCTAAATATTCATTCTTTATAATGTGAGAATGTCTAATTGAGTTCATGTTTTACTTGGGTCTTCATAAATTCACCCTAACTAAAGGAACAGAAAGTTGGTACCATTAGTGCATTCATTGAAGACAGTATTTATCTCATTTAAGGTATCTCTTACAGAGATAGATATAAACAGTACCGGGCTGGGAAGGTGGCTCAGTGGTAGAGTGCTTACCTTGCATGCATGAGGCCCTGGGTTCGATTCCTCAGCACCACATAAGCAAAAAGAAAAAAGCCAGAAGTGGCGTTGTGGCTCAGGTGGAAGAGTGCTAGCCTTGAGCTGAAGAGCTGAGGGACAGCGCCCAGGCCCAGAGTTCAGGCCCCACAACCGGACCAAAAAAAAAAAAAAATATATATATATAAACAGTACTGTGCATTCATTGAACTAGATAGATAGATAGATATTGAAGACTGCTGTCTATATTAGAGGTGTTATTTTTTAAAGATAAACATAAAAATAGTACAGAAGCATACATCTCTTCAAATTAGCACTGTTCAGTTGCATTTTTAATGATGGAAATCTTGTACTGTCCAATATGGTAGTCAGTAGTCACATACAGCTACAGAGTCCCTGAAGTGTAGTTATGTGATTAAAGACCTGAAATCTTAATTTCCCTTAGTTAGAATTAGCCATATATGGCAGTGGTTATTGTATTGGACAGCATAGCTTTAGGTAATATTAAGCAGTAATAATTGCGGGAAGTATACTATCTAGAATTTTTAAATACTGATTAATTGAAATACAAAATAAATGGATAATAAAAATAGCCTCTGAACACATAAAGAGAGATAACTTTATGTTGAGAGTGCTTTTTTTCTGTGTATGTGTGCACCAGTCCTTGAACTCGACCTCAGTGCTGTCCATGAGTTTATTTTGCTCAAGGCTAGTATTCTACCATTGAGTCACAGCTCTGGACAATATATTTAGTTGGCAGTGTTCAATCCTCCCCACCCTAATTCACACTCATTGTCCCCATTGTGGTGATGTCCTCTGCAAAAAGCACTCCTTGCATTTTTATTGTTGGTGGTTCTTTGGATTGCAGAGATGCACAGATTCAAATGCCAGAAATTTGTTTCTAACGAAACCAGTGGTTTCTCTTATGTGCTTTTAGTCTTAAAACGTGGTAAGTCAGACCTCATTTTTTAGATGAATTAGAAATCATTTCTAAATAAAATTGATATGTTCATTTTATCAGTGATCAACCTGGAGCAAAGAGGTTTGTCATACTTTTTTTTTAATTCTGGAAGGTAGTTTGTGTTGCCTAGGTCTAAGGCAAGTGCTTTTGTTTGTAAGCAAATCAAATTTGGTCATAAAGTACCACCCTCACCATACCTGGTCCTCTGCAAAGTTGTAATTAATCAGAGGGCAGGAGTGAGAATGGCAAACGTGCCTGGTTTGGTACAGCCCTTAAGCAAACTCAAAACACATGTTAATGTTTAATCTTTATATAAAAAAAAGAAGATAAGTATCAAAATACACCTACTACCTTAAACATTTATGCTCTGCATGGATTTTAATGAAATAGTTTTCAGTCTGTGCAAGGTTTTTATAATGCTAAGAAATAAGCTTGTTTTTAGTCATAAGCTTTTATTGAACAACTATTTGCTATATGAAAATATCTCACTTTTGAATACCTTAGTTTTTTAAGAATCTGTTCATTTTGGTAAATAACTATTCCAGGGGAAGGACCTGAGTTTGAAAGAAATTAAAGCTATTCGTTACTGGATTTGTTACATAGTACACTGATTAGAAATTTCTTTAAACCTTGTCTCCTTTCACAGGGTTTTCAGTAAACATTGGTGATACATATACTCTAGGAAGTGTACACTCTGATTTGTTCATGTACAACTACAGTCATATGTTTCTGTTTTTTCTCTGGTGCCAAAGAAATTTGCCTTTTTAAAAAAGTCAGCAAGTTGCATGAACTGGGGGTGGGGGAGAGAACCAAACAAACCAAAACCCCCTCCAAAATATGTATATTGTCCCCTGTCCTGGAATCCAAATAAGAAATTAAATTCAGAGCTAAAGGCAGTGATAGTTATTTTAAAGTGCATGTATTTTAAGGAGTGTACATGTTCCATTAAGGAAAGTATTGAGTGTTGTATGTGTCAGTGGAAGGTGGAGAGGTGGGGGGTCTAGGAGCCTGAACTTAAGGCCTCGGTGCTGTCCCTGAGCTTTTGTGCAAAGCATGTATTCTACCACTTGAGCCTCAGCTTTGCTTCTGGCTTTTTGGGTGATTAATTGAAGATAAAAGTCTCAGACTTTCCAGGCTGGCTTTCAACAGCAGTCCTCATATCTCAGCCTCTTGTGTAGCTAGGATTACAGATGTGAGCACAGACGCCCAGCAGTATTGACATTTTAAAAGAACTGTTGCATTAAAATCTACAGATGGATGAAACATTAAAGCTAATATAGTTGCTAAAATCTATGTTTATGTTTATAGATACATTGCCCTAATATGTAGATCAGTCTTCTTTTTGGTCAGATTTTCAGTGACTGTGGTTATTGACCATTTTAAAGATGCTGGAACCTGCTGTCTTAAGCTAAACCTCTGCTTTTAACCTTATATA